AACTCAGTTAGTAGTGGTGAAGAGAATTTTTCTTCTTTTTTATTTTGTTTTGTTATTTTTGGTTCATTTAATTCACACATTCTTGAAAACTGGTTCGGGGGGTGGGTGGCAAACAAAAAATCTTGTTATGTATAAAGCACAGATACAGTGTATCTGTGAGTATTAAAAGTTCATGGGTGGTAGGGATGAATAGGAAACAAAACGTCTAAAGAGGTTTCTGGGATTGAGGAAGGAGGGGAAGAAAAATGGTTAAAAAGCACTTTATTGTCCCAAAATGACTGATAGAGCAATTCTCTTGCCAGATCACACACAGTAGCAGGCTATGCTGTAGAATGAGTGGTCTTGCAGATCTCATTTAAATGAGCTTTCACCACAGGATGAGGATGAAGGTCGAATGGTTTCCTTCTTATTTGTTCCTCGTGAATTTGAGTAATAACATCACAAGAGACCCCATCAATATTATGCTGTGGAAATGGAGAGAAGAGTAACCAATTAGAAGTGATAGCACTGGGTGAGGAAACAGCCTGTGGACATAGATTATAGAAGTTAACAACAAACTATAATGATCATGAGTGTAGTGGCACCCCCTGTGTGTGTCGTAGTTTAAGGCACTGTTTTAGATACAGGAAGCTTATGTTGTAATGGGGGTGGGAAGGAAGTGGTCTAAAGAATAAATGTAGTATCTTCCAAGTATGCTAGAAAGTGATAACATGCTATGAGAAAAGAAATAGAGCAAATGGGAAGTCTGGAGAGGCAAGAAGGACATTGCAGTTTACCGGAGTGGCATAGTAAATCTTCATGGAATGTCTCTGAAAGTTGCTCTGACCATTCATGGTAAGAGTCTACACAGGATGATTTTTCTGTTCCTTTTTGTAGAATGGCAGTAGAAGAAGAACCCCAGGTGGCGTTTTCCTGAATCTCCTGAAAAACACTCCTAGTATCAGTGAGGAGCAAATTAAGGTAAAAATGACAATGTCTTTGACTTTTAAGATCAATCATAATTTGACTGCCACTCAGCCTCTAGCTTCATTTTCTATTGATCTCTATTACCTGCTCTGCCTTACCTTGACTGATTTTTTTAGTTGCTCTTTTCAAATAAAACTTGAACCTCTTATAAAGCTCTGCCTCCTCTTTTTCTCCCCTTTCAGAGCCAAGGTCATAATTCCTTTTATGGCAGTTTTTCCTGGTGTCTTAGCATGTAATTATTTTTTTCTACTCTCCTATAACTTGGCTTTCAGAATCTTAAGCCTTCCCTGGTGCCTTAGACAGTAAAGAATTTGCCCTGCAATGAGGGAGACTTGTGTTTGATCCTTGGGTCGGGAAGATCCCCTGGAGAAGGGAATGGCAGTATTCTTGCCTGGACAATCCCATGGACAGGGGAGCCTGGCAGGCTATAGTCCATGCGGTCACAAAGAGTCAGACATGACTGAGCAACTAACACACACATAACTAGGCTTTCGGGATCTTAGTTCCCTGATGAGGGATCAAACCTAGGCCTTCTGCACTGGAAGCATGGAGTCCTAATCACTGGACCACCAGGGAATTCCCTCTATAACTTTTTATTAATGAAAAATGTCACTCTTTTGAAAGATATAGTAGGATGTGATGAAAAGGATTCGCTAAGATTCAAAGTCTAGGTTTTAATCTTAATTTTGCCATTTAGCGATTGTAGACTCTGAGAAGATTGCTTACTGTCTCCCCCAGCCTTAATTTTTTCATCTATAAAGTGAGGACTTTAATATGTGCCCTGCCTGTTTAATATTACTATAAAAGAGTTAAATAAAATGATGTCTAAAAAAGCTTTTTCTTGGTAACTAAATCTGGACAAGCAATTTCCAGAAACAGGAGAGAAGAAAGGAACATTTATTCACCATGAGCCTCGCCCTAAGGCCAATCTTTACAGGACTTAACTCTTGACAGCCTGTCATTGGATGTCACCCTGCTCTGCAGATGAAAGCAAGAAAAGGATAGGTCTGAGATCACACAGAACTCTGCCTTCAGACCCAGGTTTTTTTCACTGAATCACCTGTCTTTGAAATTCAGTTCTTCTAACTCATTGTGAAGGGAATTTACTGTTTGTAGATTTTTATCTTAAACTGTCAGAAACATTGCATTATAATAAACAGTGGAAACATTTTTAATAGTATCCAATAATAGGGGAATGTTGACTTATAAGGACATTCTTAAAACAGCTATTGTGTAGCCTCTATTTTTATGAAGCAATTCTAAGAAAATTAGAAAATAATAGCTTAGAAGCAGAGTACAGATTTTTAAAGAAAAAGAGTCATGGGACAATAGATTGGTAGTTAAAATACCAAAATGTTACCAGTGCTTTGGTCTATTGTGAGGGGTTAGAAATGTTTTGGCTTTAAGATATTTTTGTTTTCTGTTTTTTCCAAAATTTCTGTTGTATATGGACTGACTACCTTTGTTACTAGAAAGGAAAATCAGAAGGTAGATATAATTTTATTGCAGGTAATTTCATATTTCATCCAAATAATGGTGTTATAGTTTTTCTTTTAGTCACTCTATTGTTAACAATCACAGGCTGTAGAATTTGGAAGCCAGAACTGAACTGAGTGGGCTTGTTTTCAACTTCTTCTCACTTGATTTTATTTTAGTATGTGACCTTATAATTTTTCTTCTAGAGAATACAAAGTTTGTGAAGATAAAAAGAGTAAGAATAGTTAAGAGGTTACTTTGCTATATTTTTTTAAAGTCCAGCTATAACGATCTCCCTCTGAAAGTAGTATGCACTAGGTTCTTATGGGTGGGAGAAGAAAAATTTCTCTCGGGTTATCTATTGTCTGCATTTGTTGTAACACATTAACAATATGATAAAAAGACATTTCTTTAGGCCATTCCCTGGTTTGTTTTATTTAAATATATAACCCATGGGAATGACATTTCCTCATTAATAAAGTTTGCTGTAATTTGGAGGGAAAGGGGGAACTTCATAATTTAATTTAGTATTGCCAGGCATTGTACTAGTTAGAATTGTTTTTATCAAGATGTTTGGATATGTTTTCATATAAAATGAAAATACTGCTACTATGCTCCACTTACAGGTAAGTAGACACTTGAAAAAGTTGTGAATTTTCACACTGTTGTGAAGGCAACATAATAGGGTTTAAGGATATGGTAGTTTTAATAAATAGTAGTTCTTGTTTACTAAAGTTGTTCCTTTATTGTAGGACATTTTCTACTTTGAAAATCAAAAGGAATATGAAAATAAAAAAGCTGCTAGAAAGAGAAGAATACAAGTGATGGGGAAAAAGATGAAACAAGCCATTAAAAACCTAAATTTTCAAGAAGATGATGATACATCACGAGAGACTTTTGCAAGTGACACTAATGAGGCCCTGGCCTCTCTTGATGAATCACAGGAAGGACATGGAGAAACAAAGTTGGATGCAGAGGAAGCCATTGAGGTTGATCATTCTAACGACTTGGACATGTTTTAGTACATTTTGAGGAATAAACCTTTCTAAGATAACATTGTAATAAACATTTCTACTGAGATTATTTTACTTTGCACTGATAAACACAAAAATCTGGAGAAAATTGTTACTTTGTTTAAATAAAATTGAATATGTGGGAGATGAATGTGATAACATTTAAAACTTTCTCATGTCTGACAAAATATTTAAAAGTATATAGTGGAAGATTTAATTTCTTAATCTGTTGCATGTGCTAATTATTACTAGTTGATCATCAGTTTTGTCCGGGTCATTTTAACGTGCTGTTTGAAAGTTTTTCTGATTTATCTTTACAATGAACTATGATTGGTTTCAAAACATTCCATTAAAAGATCCTATTAAGACATAAATTGTTAAACTATTACAAATGCATTCAAATTTAGTTTTTCTATGTTTTAAGAACTCTTAGGCTTTTAATGATAGAAACTAAAAATAGGTTTATACTAGTGGCTCTTCCCACTTATGTGTTTGTTCGGAAGTAAATAAACATCAGACTCTTCAAAGAAGTATTGGTTCATAACTTTAACTTTGTTTTTGACTTATTAGTTACTTTGGTCATATATTTAAATACTAAATATAATCCATATGTGCATAATTGCAATGACATTTAAAAAATTCCCAGTGGTGGCCTGCCTAAGACAGTTTTACCTTATGTTAAGGAAGTTATGTATTAAAAATGTTTCTTCTGCATGATGTTTAAAATTATTCATTTTTATTTAAGAAAATAAAGCTAGTTTACTTAAGGTGTCCCAAGAGTTGACTACAGTTTACAGAGTAAGCAAAAATATGTAGGAAGCAGTTATATCTATTCTTCACAATAACGTACTTGAAGTCTTTCAGTAATTTTTGAAACACGTAATCATTGAAGTTGGATCTAAGCAGGGAAGGAAGAGGAAAATGGTTATTGGTTACATTTTATTCATAAAGAATGCAGAAATAAAATTAGAATTCTGGACGTCAATGAGTTTCGAGTGATTTTATTTTATAATCTCAAATTTTCTTTCATAAAATTGCCATAACCAAGGAAAGAAGCATTTTAAATAGGTAAGTATTTAAATATTGTCCCTAAAGTTTTTTTAACCTTTTATTTATTGAAGAATTTTTTTATAATTGAAGTATAATTGACTTACAGTATTACATTAGTTTCAGGTGTATAGCATAGTGGTTCAGTATTTTTATATATTATAAAATGATCACCACAGTTGCTGGGGTTGCTTTATGTGAGGTGATTTTAAAGGTTTGGTATATTAGGTAAGATAACACTCAGAAATCTAAATGTCGTGTATCCTTGTAAATTTTACTGATTTTTCTAGTGTAAGTTACAGTTTTTGAAGGATATTAATGTCTCAGGCTACTTCATCTTTAGTGGATTGCTCATTTCTCCCCCACCCACTTCCTAGCTTGTTTTATTTTCTTAACATTTGCAAACTACACAGATTTCTGGATTGTATTACATCCTAAGGTGTATAGAAACCAGTGTTTCAGTTTTTAAGGTTTAAGGTTTTGTTTATTAACATTACTCTTCTCTAAACCTTTCTAATTATCCAGATCTAGGAATGTCTTTCCAAACTCTTGCCAGAAATGTATTCCCTTAATACTGTCATCATACCAGCATACATTACAGTCATTCTTCCTGCTCAGCCTAACATTCTTCTCCTTGCTGGCTAGTAGGATTAACAGTAATAGCCCTCTGTGTCTCTGGCTTAGTAATTTAGGTGCTCATCCTCACTCATAACCTTTATTAGAATGAGTTTTTTTTACCTAAAATACTCTGTGATTCAATTCAAAACCTAGGAGATAAAATGGGTTGGATTGGCTTGAGTTAAGGCAAGTTTGATTTACACTCACAGGTGTCTATTGGCGAAACAGGAATCGGACATATCAGCTATGTGCAGTCTATGAAGAGGAAAATATGAAGTGATTGTGAGTAATAATTGCTTAGTCCACTATATTTCCTAGTATCTTTGTCAAAGTTGTAGTATGTCTGCAAACATGCTTATTTTTTAAGTTCTCATGATAAGAATGATGGTGTACTCAAGGAGTATTTAAAAAACACTAGAAATGGCTCTAAGTCCCACATTCTTAATTAACTGCTGAAGCAATTACTACAGGTTGCTATGAAGTTAGCAAAACATTGTTACATCTGAGGCAGCACTGCCATCATAATTAGTAGACTAGTGAAGTTCTAGATGAGAATTCCTGTCACTACAGGCAGTGATGGCTTCAGGCAAAGACACTTGTCCGATCTTACCTAAACTCCCCAACAACTGTTGTGATGAGAATTCAGATAAGCCTGCTAATAAGTGAGGACTTAAGGGTTTGGGGTTTTCCGGGGGTTTTGTTTGTTTTCAGTCTGGGAGTTACATTCATGGGGACGCCAATTCTGTGCTTCCCCTTGGTATCTATATAGAAAACTTTATGTTCTGGAACAAAACTGTGTGTGCTAGAGAAAGCAAGACTGTCCTGAGTGTAGAGCATGTACTAAATTCAGAAGCTGAATTACTGATTGTTGTGACTGGCCAGATTCCTTTATTCAGTGCATAGGCCTGAGCTAAATCATGCTGTGCTGTATTTTCCCCTTAAAATAACGCCAAAATGAACATGAGTGAGTTGTAAAGGACAGCATGCAGTTCGAGTAATGATATCCAGAGTGGACTCTTGGTGACACTTGGGGATTTAATGGGTCGGTTATCTACTATTAATAGGTGAGTCTCAAAGCAGTGACTGCTCTGTCCTGCAAGCTGCAGGGGTCCAAACCTCAGACACAACTGCTTCCGTTCCCTCAAATGATGCTAAAGCAATTGTATTTAGTTCACAAGCTACTCTTTCTTGCTTTCTTAATCTTCAGGTGTTGTGAGATTCATTTGCCACGGTTTTCCTTAAAGCAAGGGATGATCCCAAGAAGTTATGTAATGCCTTGGAAACAGAACATGGAATTCAGGAATGTGAATCTGAAGGTATTTTCCTATAAATATTCATAATTAAAAAAAAACTACAGCATGTAATATATCTGTGAATAAACATACAACTCTACAAAGTCTGTTTTGAAATTTATTTTTCATTTTTTCAGCTTTATTGAGGAACAATAGACAAATCTGATTGTGTATATTTAAAGTATACAACATGGGACTTCCCTGGTGGTCTAGTGGTTGAGGCTTGTGCTTCCACTGCAAGAGGCACAGGTTTGATCCCTGGTTGGGGAAGTTCCTCATGCTGTGTGGTGTGGCCGAAAAAAACTATGGGGAAGTTGTGAATCACTATGTTGTACAGCAGAAACTTACATAATATTGTACATCAACTATACCTCAACAACAACAAAACATTTTGAGGGCAACTTGGGGAAATAATTATAGCATATACAGCAAAGGGCTAATTTATGAAAAATATTTTAAAATAGGAGCTTCCCTCTAGTGGTTAGGAATCTGCCTGCCTGTGAAGGGGACACAGGTTGGATCGTTGGTCCAAGATGATTCCACATGCCACAGAGCAACTCAGCCTAGCTAGCCAGTACGCGCCTAGAGCCTGTACTCTGCAACAAGAGAAGCCACCACAATAAGTCTACCCACTGCCACTGGAGAAAGTCCACATGAGCAAGGAAGACCCAGTGCTGCCAAAAATAAAATTCTTTTAAGTGTACAGCCTGATGCTTTGTACATCACTGATTACCAAGATCAAGATAATTAACACATTCATCATCTCTCATAGTTAGCTTTTTTCCTTGTAGTAAGAATACTTCAAATCTACTCTCAGCGGCTCTCAAGTATACAGTACCATTTTATTAACTAGGGTCACTGTGTTGAACATTAGACCCTTAGAACTTACTCTTCCAAAACTGAAAGTTTGTATCCTTTGTCTCATTTCTTCCCCTTCCCAGGCCCTGACAACCACCATTCTAACAAAAGTTATTTGGTGCACCTGCCGCATAAACTTGCAAACAAAAGTTAAATAGCAATGTCTTACTCAAACAACCCAATTATAAACTTAAAATAAACTTAAAACTTAAAATAGATAAACAAAAAGATATCAGAAGTACATGTCTGCATTTTCTCTACATAATGCCAACTCACAGTTGTTAAGTTCATCAGTTGTAGGCACCATTAATAGGCTGTAGTACGGAGTGTGTATTATTGAAGTATATTTTATTTTCAATATGTTAACTTCTTCTGTACAGCAAAGTGATTCAGTTATGTGTGTATATAAATATACACACATTCTTTTTTCTATTCTTTTCCATTAATGGTTTATTACAGGAAATGGAATATATTTCTCTGTGCCGTACGGTAGGACCTTGTTGTTTATCCATTCTATATACAACAGTTTGCATCTGATAATCCCAAACTCGCAATCCAACTCTCCCTTACCTCTCCCCAACCTTGGCCCCCACAAGTCTGTTCTTTAGAGAGTGTATTTTTACAGCTGTACTGCAAAATCAGGTTGAAAACTACGGGAACAGTTTGGCTAGATTTATAGATAAGACTCCTTATTCACTCAGTGCTCCTATTCAGTAGTCAGCAGTTTCAAAACATTTTCCAAATTCAGATTGCCCACCCCCTTGTAAAGAAACAACAAGGTAAGTTGTTTCTTTAAAAAATATAATATTCTGTAATAATCAGACAAGTTTCAAGTTATGATTCCTAGGAAGAAAGGTGTGTATGTAACTAACTTCCACATTTCTAATCAATAAGCAATTAATGTTGAGTAAGAATATAGTTTATCAAAACAGATGATATTATAGAATATGACTATTATATATAAAACATTTCTATGATTCTTGACCTTACTCTTTAGAGCTATAATACAGCATAAATTTTTCATTGTTATTTCACTTCTGCAATTTAGTTGACAGTGTTCCTAACAGTTATAAAATGTAATTAACAACTGGTGTATGGAGCATCTATCTTACAGAGTAAACGTGAAAACTAAAGGAGAATTAAAATGAAGTGAGTGTGTGCTGAGTAAATGCTAACTTTGCTTTTCTTCCATTGTACCATTTTTGCTATAGGAGTTGAAATAGCTATTTAACAACATAAAAACAAGAGCACGGCATAGGAGAGAGGGGGCTGCACCCCAAGACCAGGCCAGACTGCTATTCAGCAATATCAGAGAATCAGAAATACATGTACAATTCAGATAATAACCTCTCACTACAGATAATAAGTAACTGTTATCTATCCAACAGCAGTTGCAGCAGCCTCCGCATCCCCTACAGCTCATTTTACTCTGTGGTGTTATTTAGTTGCTCAGTGGTGTCCGACTCTTTGTGATCCCATGGACAGCAGCCCGCCAGGCTCCTCTGTGTATGGGATTTCCCAGGCAACAATACCTGAGTGAGTTGCCATGTCCTTCTCAGGGATCTTCCTGACATAGGGATTGAACCCAAGTCTCCTGCACTAGCAGGCAGATCCTTTACCATTGAGCCAGCAGGGAAGCCCTAAAAAGAGCTTTGAAAATCAGCAAAAGATTTTTCATTCACATATAATGTTTTATTCAACACTGAAAGAATTGTTTAATAATTCCCATTTTATATTTGAGAAAACTGAGTCCCACAGTGCATAAATGACTTGTACAAGGACACGTAAGTGGTGAAGCTAAAGGTCAGTGATCTGACTCCAAGTTTAGAGTCTGCAGTCCACACCACTGGCTCTTCCTGTTGGTTGGAAGACACCAGTTAGCACTGCTTTTTTATATTTGAGAAAACTGAGTCCCACAGTGCATAAATGACTTGTACAAGGACACATAAGTGGTGAAGCTAAAGGTCAGTGATCTGACTCCAAGTTTAGAGTCTGCAGTCCACACCACTGGCTCTTCCTGTTGGTTGGAAGACACCAGTTAGCACTGCTTTTTAAAAAAGGGTTATTGCTCTGCCCACTAGAGATTCCTTCTTGACAGTACCAGAAAAACTACTGGGCAACTTCCATCTTAATATAATAAAGTGGTTTTTGGTGTGATATACAGCAGATTTTTTCTTCCTCTTAGCACGCAGAAGCATGTGGGATCCATGCTGGCCCTTTGGAAGACACTCTGTTTTTGGATCACAGTGAAAGGCTTTGCCATGGGGAAGATCGTAAAGTTGTCTTGAAGAAAGGCCCGCCAGAAATAAAAATTGTAGATATGCCTCTGCATTCACCTCTCTCCAAGTACCAAAGCACTGTGATTTCCCACGGCTTCAGGAGGCGACTGATCTGATCAAAGAATAAAATAATCAAGTAGTTCAGTCTCTCTCTCTTCCATAAATATTTCACCTACAGGTTTAATTTATTCAAAGGCTATAAGGCAACTGCATATTTTTTTACGTTATTATATCTTAGAGAGAAAATAATCTCTGAGAACTCCTGAGATGAAGTAGAGGAGCAAGGAAAACTGTCTCACTGAAATTAATTTCAGAGTAAGCACTTAAGAAACAGCAGACTGATCCAGTCCCACCATCTATCTTCACCACACTCCTTTCTCTTTTTCTTCTTCTCATTCCATCCTTATGATTCATCTCTTCAAAAACTCAGGTAAACCAAACTGAGACAAAGTAGGAGGATGTGGGATTATTTTTGCTACTTTTCTGATTTACTTACTTTTAATTTCTTTCTTCCTCCCTCACCAACACACATACCCCTAAGAGACTGGTAACTACCTAATGTGGTTATTAGAGGTGTTTGGTAGACAACTCTATGATGCATCATATAATTTTAGCTGAGATATACTTTCCATATTGGTTCAGTGTATCCAAGTATCAATATCCTACAGCGAAGAATTGATTGACATAACTTAAGAAATAAGAATGATTATGTGTAAAAATGACGCACTGCTGTGGAAGACAGTATAGTAGTTTCTCAAACAATCACACACAGAATTACCTTATGATCCAGCAATTTCAATTCTAGGCATATGCCCCAAAGAATTAAAAGCAGTGATGAACAAATATTTGTATACCAATGTTCACAGCAGCATTATTCATTGTAGCCCAAAGGTAGAAGCAAATGTCCATCAGCATTTGTTGGGGACGAAAAAATTTTCCTCTGTTCTTCTAGGTTCTTCTGGTGGGTTTAAGAATTGAATTGACATGAGACAGATTAATAGGAGAAAATCAAACGTTAAATAACATGTATACATGGGAGAGACCCAGGAAAACTGAGTAACTCACCAAAATGACTGAAACCCTCACTTTATATATCATCTTCAGCTTAAGACAGAAGAGGATTTGAGAATAGTGATTTGGGCTTCAAAGAGGAAGAACGTAACTGACATGGAGATGGAAAAGCAAATGTTCCAAAAGTGTTTGTTGGGCCATGCAGAAACAATGGGACATAGATTGGATAGAGACCTCGAGCATTTTCCCCACCATACCTTGCTCATGTTTTTGCAGACATCTCTGGTAATATAGCTCTATTCTTGTAATAAGCCTTCTGTCTAAATTCCTTTAGGCACTTTAGGGTACCTAGCTCAGGGACAGTCTCATCACCCTACAGTATCAATTATTCTGTTCTACTTAATTTCCTCTAATTTTGTGTGGCCCTCTAAGTTACATCCTAGTAAGTGATTCTCTTTCAGATTATTCCTCATCTAATTTCACTCTCTTAAATGTAAACTCTAACTTGTACCCATGGCTTCCTTCTTTAAAAATTCCAGGGACTTCCCTGGTGATCCAGTGGCTAAGACTCTGAACCCCTAATGAAGAGGGCCCCCTGGTTCAATCCCTGGTCAGGGAACTAGATCCCACATGCTGCAACTAAGAGCCCACATGCCTCAATAAAAAATGTAGCTCAGCCAAATAAATAGATAAATAAATGTGTTTTAAAAGAGTCCCCATTCCACTGTGGTTTAATTTAAAACTCTGAATTTCTTCCCAAGAGAGCAGATTATCATGCTGCATCTTGGCCCAGGTGGGTTAATCCCCATGACTGGAAAATCTCTGAGATTTCCAGGGTCAAAAGTGCCAAGGGATATATTTTACACATATTGAGAATATAGGTGATCATATTTGACCATTACTAATTAGGAGCTCCAACCAGTCCATCCTAAAGGAGATCAGTCCTGGGTGTTCATTGGAAGGACTGATGCTGAAGCTGAAACTCCAATACTTTGGCCACCTCATGCAAAGAGTTTACTCATTGGAAAAGACCCTGATGCTGGGAGGGATTGGGGGCAGGAGGAGAAGGG